AGAGACAGAGACAGAGACAGAGAGAGAGAGTCACATGCACTTCTCATGACTATTGTTCCAAAGTTTATATTGAGGAAAGAAATGGGAGGTGGGCAATAAACATAGCTTCAGGTAAATCTGATAATATGTTTTTATATAAGAACATGAAGAGAAGGATCCTTGGCAGGCCTGTTTCAGCTGCTTCTGTAGCTTGGTCTGGCTTTTGCAGTCTTACCTGGGCACTACGTCTGACACCATGGGGAAACAGGACAATCGAGTGGCCTACAGGAATCCAATGGCAATGGCCAGATCAAGAGGTCCGATCGAGTCTTCAGGGCCAACCATCCAGGATTATCTGAATCCACACAGGCTTACCTGGGAAGAAGAGAAAGAGCAACTAGAAAGAAAAACAAAGGCTCAAAGGCTTTGGCTGAACTTGAAGGAAAAATGAATGAGAATTGGAAGAAAGAACTAGAAAAGCACAGAGAGAAATTATTAAGTGGAAATGAGAGCTCATTCCCCCCTCAAAAAAAAATAATAGAGAAGGAAGAAAGAAAAGAAGAAATATGATAGGTATTCATCTTCTTCTTCATCGAGCTCTGATTCTTCCAGCAGTTCTTCAGATTCTGAAGATGAGGAAAAGAAGCAAGCAAAAAGGAAAAAGAAAAAGAACTGTTCATCTAAATCTTCTGAAAGCGCCTATCAGAAACTGAGTCAGACCATAAGGATAGTTTAAAAAAAAGAAGTCAAAGGATGCAACTGAGAAAGAAAAGGACATTAAAGGACTTAGCAAGAAAACAAAGATGTATGCTGAAGATAAACTTTCTTCATCTGAGTTCTTGTCAGAATCAGATCATACTGAAGAGGTACAAGTGAAAAAGAAGAGAAACAGTAAAGAACTAGAATAAGCAACAGAAAAACAAAAAAGAAAAAAAGAAGCATAAGAAACACAGTAAGAAGAAGAAAAAGAAGGCTGCTAGTTCAAGTTCTGTGTCACCATAACATTGACAAAACCATGACTCCCCTATGAGGAAAGTGCAATGTCTAAAGAAATTTCAATTGTGAAATTACTATACATTTACTCATACGCATGAATTTTCTTGTTCTTAGAATTGTTCCTGGACTATTCAATAGGCACACCAGTGCCACTATGTGAAAGGGCCGTAATTGTTGCCTGCTGCTTGAGCGTCCACTAACCTGGGAGATAACACACTGTAGTCACACTCATGGTTAAAATATCTGGGAAGAAAGCTAATATTTTTGAGCAGAAGTATCTAGTGATGAATCGATAGGAAATGAATCTGGATACATCTTAAGATGTAATCAGAAATGGCCAGATGACTCTAGTTAAATTTTTTAAAGTAGGGATTACATTAATATTTTGAAATCCTTGCTCTGTAAATAAGTGTATCTTTTTTTCCCCCTTGTATACTTTTTATTACCTGAAGAAGGAGCTTTTAGAGTGGAGGGAGAGGTGGTTTGCTATTTCTTTAGCTAGCAGAATAGTGTGTCTTTGTTCCTCATACCTCCTACTTTTGTGGACAGAGTAGCCCTACTGCCTGGGGAGGTCAGAGCTGTGTATGAGCCCTCTTGCCCTTTATTGATCTTAATGGCATCTGTGGACTTTGTCATTTGCTGCTTTGAGTGAATCAGAGAAATAGCCCTTTGCAGCATGACAAAGTCCCAACACTCTGAGTTTATACCTCTACATCAACAAAAACATTGTTTTTTCAGCTTTAGAATGTGTTATGTCATATGAATTAATTTTTGACTGTACTTCAGCTTTGGAGAGAAATTGCTTCATATAGGCACTGATACTTTTTGAACTTAATAGCTAAAGATTCTAAGATGCATGTTTTATACTGTTAAGTTTTAACCAGTCAGGAAAATTTTATGTAACCGATGATAGTTTATTTTTTTGTATGAATGTTGTTCAGGCTATTTGTTAACTCTTATTTGTACTATCTCAGGTTCATTACTATGTTTAATGGCATCCTTCCTAAGATATTTAGCGTGTAAAAAACAGATGTTGAGTTTTTGTTTTAAACAGCATCATATTGAAGCTGAGACTTACAAACAAGTTGAGTAACAGATCTGGTATGCAGTATCTTGTTACATAGAGCTATTGCCAGAATCTTAGTAAATACAATATTTCTTTTTTTTTAAAAAAAACATTAAATAATAACAAAATTATTCAAAAGGAACCCTGATTATTTTTTATTTAGCGTATAAACTCTATGTCACATTATTCCAAGACTCTAAGCTTATTTTTATTTTTACTGATTTAATAACTGCTGACTCAAATAGATGATTATAATAAAATAATTTTTATCTTGGCCTAATTGCAAAGTGAATGTATTAAAAAATGATTTTGTCTTCTTGCACCATCTTGTGTACCATGAATGATCTGCTAAGCAAACACAGAGAAAGTATAAGAAGACATTCTACTTAATTTCATCATATATTTGTTTGATTTGCTTCTTAAAATTTAATACCTATTTCACTTTGAAATGCTAGATATTGAAAGCTTTGTGTTTAAACATAATTCAAAGTAGAGTTTTACTTGGATCAAGATTTTTAAAAGATAACCCATGAGATTACTATGTCCTTTTATATCTGAAAGTGGAGCTCCTAATCATAGTATGTCATGCCGAAGTAGGGTATCTTTTCATTTCATTTTCATAAGATTTTCTAATGTCTCCAGGCTACTCCTAGGACTACTGCCATTCATGTGTATGGAAATATGTGATCTGTAGTTTTTTAGGACTGGCTTTCTCTGCTTAGCACAATGTTTTAAGGTTCATCAATGCTGTACTGTGCTTCATTTCTCTTAACTACCAAGTAATAATACCTTGTCTGCGTAGAGAGCACTTTGTCTGTTCATTCACTTATTGATGGATATTTAGGCTCTTCCAACCTTGTGTCTATTATGGATAATGCTGCTATGAACATTAATGCTTAGGCAAGCTTAGGCAAGTGCAGGGACCACGGTTTGATCCCCCGTACCACATGCTGTGTCAACCTGCCCCCAGGGTGGGCTGAGATGACCACAGATTCTGGGCATCCTGGCATGTGTCTGCAATCCCAGAGCTGGGAGGCTGAAAATAGGAGGATCACCATGAGTCTGAGCGGCATAGTGAGACCCTGCAACAACTAAATACATTAAAAAAAAGCAACAACAAATATTGAAGTCCTAACTTTCCCTCTAGACTGTGTAAGTCAGCATGACATCTGACTGGGAAATGTTGCTGGTATAATTAACTGAAATGAGATCATTCTGGTGGACTCTTAATCTAATACAAATTTATACAGAGGGGAAGATGGTACACAGATACACGAATGCCCATGTTAAAATTAGAGATAGGCTGCTGCAAACCAAGGAAATCCTGGGAGCCAGAGAGAAGCCTGAAACAGTTGTGCTAGGGTATCCCCAACGGGGGCATGTGAATGCAGTACGAATGTATCCCCAAGTGAGTGGTTTAGACAGCAAAACATTATTGTCTTATCGGTTCTGGAGGTGAGAAGTCTGAGATCAATGGGTGGCAGGACCACATTTCAGGACTACAGTATCTAATGTTCTCTCAGTGGTTTTAACGGGGTTTGTCCTATATATATTTTTTTAAATAGAAGAAACAAAAGCAGCTGAAGATGAAATGGAGAAGCTTTACAAATCATTAGAGCAAGCTAGTCTGTCTCCTCTGGGAGACCGAAGACCTTCTACTAAAAAGGAGCTGAGGAAGTCTTTTGTTAAGAGGTGCAAGAATCCATCTATCAATGAGAAACTTCACAAAATCCGAACCTTGAATAGCACGTTAAAGGTAAGACAGTTATGGACTGGATGAACTCTGTTGATGTGAGGCAAAAAGTGGCTGATTCTGCAGAGAGATTCATGTAGGTCACAGTGAAGGAAGGGCATGAAGCATAAACATAATCTTCATAGGGTAAGATGATTCTGGACATTCTGAAGCATTGGGACACTCATACTGTAGCACCCAGAGCAGCTTTTGGAAAAAGACCTTGATTTTACATTTAACCCCTAGATGGCAAGGAGCATGTGTAATTTGTTTTTGTATCCCTTATGCCTAGCACTATACTTGGCTCAATAAATGTTGATTAGAGAGAGCTAATGAATTGGTGAGAATGAACAGTAGTATGTTTGCATGCTGTATCCAGGAGAAAATTCTGGATTTAGGGTTCAGCAGAGCCTGTTTGCCTTAGGTAAGGCATCCAAGGTACACTGAGCCCCAGCGGGAAGTGTACAGTTCATAGTCATAAGCCAGCAGATGTTGTCACAATGGGAGCAAAGGACAGTGTACAGGATGCACTGAAGCAATTTTCAGGACCTCTTGTGACTAAAATGATTGTTCATAATAAAAGCATCCTGCTTTCACATTTATATTATAACATGAATAGGAGAAGGTCAGGGTGCTTTGTAAAATAGAGCTAAATTAAGTAAATGTTTATAGATTTGGAAAAGCCTTGATAAGTCCTGCAATTTAATTCTGTTTTGTACATGTCTTTTTGCATTAAGAATGTGAGTCCTTTTCCAGGAAGAGAAGTCATCAATCAAAGACAAGGCTGCCAAGAGGCAATTGAGGGGCTTTTGTTATTCAGATATCCCACTTAGTCATTAGAAGACCCAAAGCACCCTAAGAGGCTATAAAAATGAGGCTATAGAAGGAAAGGCAAAATGTATTTTAATTACACAAAGACACTCAAAATGCAGAGACATTTCCTATTATTTCATGATAAGAAGACATTGCCAGCAGTTATTCAGCATGGTGTACATGTAGGATCATTCCATATCATGTGCCATAGTATGTAGGGATTTTGTAGTCTTTTTTTTTGTAGTCTTAATTGTCTGTAAGAGTTGAATATGAATAAATAACTTTTTTAGTCAACAGCTATTTCCTGACTCTTGCTGTGTACCACGCAGTATTCTAGGTCACTGTGACCATTAAATGGAACATTGTGGGCAATGGAACAGAGAGGAGACAAATAGTTTAAATACAATGTGACAAGTGTGGTGTGGGATACAAATTCAGGAGGCTGTGACAGCCTAGAGGAGGGTTGTGACTGCTTCTAGGGTCTTAGTGTCAGCATTGCAGAGACAATGACAACTAGATAATAAGAGATGAAGGAGATCAGGAATGGAAGAGAAAGGCCTTCAGGACACGAAATGTCTACCAGAGGTGGATTATCTTTACAGCTCATGTTGGGAGAAATAAGAATCCAAGGAGAGCATGGGTGGCTTGGGCCAGCTGTAGGAGAAAGACTGTGCTCTCAGACGCTCCATAGACTAGGAGCCTAAAGATTTTAGACCTGCATAGGGTCATGTTCTGACTTAAAAATCAAGAAGTTCAGTTGTCTTAGTCTCTTTTCCCTTGTTGGTACATAGTATCTGATATCCACAACTTTAAGGAGGAGAGGTTTATTTGGATAGTGGTTTCAGGGATTCAGCCCCTGCTTAGATGACTTCAAGACAGAACATCATGGCACAAGAGTAAGCAGGAGGAAAAAAGCATGTTTAGTGCATCATTACTGGAAAGCAGAGCAGGGGAATAGTGCCAGAGAGGAGGGGCCAGAAGACACTCTCGTGATCTGCCTAGACACATGGAAGGGTGTTTTACTAATCCCCATGGAGGCTTTCCAATCAGTGAAGTTGGCAAATTAAACTTAACCAGCACACCAGTAAACATGGTTTTGTGACTGTTCATTTTCTATACATTGTGGGCATGATAAATGGATGGTAATGATTGAATTGACATGCACCTTCTTTTCTCTGAGTAGGTTACAAATTACTCGCAAATGTAGCAAATTCAAAGAAGAAGGATTTTATTATTATTTCAAGGTTTCTGTGGGTAAAGAATCTGGGTATGGCTTGCACAGCTTTCTCTTTTAGGTTTCTGCTGAGGCTCTAACCATGCTGTCACTGGGCTGCTCTCATTTCTCCACCAGGACACATCTGACCCTGAACTCTTACAGTGGTTGTTGGCAGGATTCAGTTCCCTGCAAGTTGCTTTTGGGCTGTTGGTTGGAGGAAAAGTCTGGGCTTCTTTGCAGAGCAGCTCACAACCTGGAAGCTGGCTTCTCTCAGAGTAACCAGATAGGAAAAGTTAGTAAGCAAGATAAATTATAACCCAACTGTAGTAGTGACTCCATGAAACTTATACACTATACTTTTTAGCAGATGTAAGTTGTTGTTAGGTGCATTCTACTTAAAGCGTGGGCCACAACATGACATGAATCCAGAAATCAGGGAACATCAGGGACATCTCAGGGCTGCCTTCCCAAACCAGTTGATCTACTGTCTGGATACTTGTGAGAAGCAGCCCTTTCCTTAGGTCTATGAGGCTTCCCGAAAGTGTTATGCTGGGGGTTAATGAAATGTAACCCATGTTATGTGGTCTCAGTAACCTCAGGATGATACAGTGATGTGGAAATTAGCCTTGTTGGAAGAAAAAAAAATTAAAAACAAAACACACCAATTTATTCGATGGAGAACAGTTTGGTACATATATGTCTATGTTTCAAGGCTATCATAATTTTTAAGCTAATTTTAAAATCTCATGGCAGTTGCTTTTGAGGGGAAAGAGAGAATTTGATCGATTGGGGCACAAGTAGAGCTTCTAAAGTGCTCAGAAGTTAGCATTGCTTACAATCGAATGGATGTGCCCATTATTTGATAATCCACTAAGCACAACAAATTATTCATACACTTTCCTCTATTGTTACAAGACAATAAATGCTTCAAAGCTGGTGTATGAAGAAGCAAAGACAGTTTCATACAGAAATAAGGACACTGTTTGAAGAAAATAATATTTATATTAGTGACAGGTGTATCATTAAGAAAAATCCCTGCACTGGAATGGTATCAGAATGAATGTTCTTTTTGGAAATTGAGCAAACTGTCATGCCATATACTAAATGTAGATCTGTTAGAATTTTGGCTGCTCAAATTCACTGACTTTTGGCCAAGTTTGTCTTTATTTTTAAGTGAATGATTAATAGAATGACTAATGGATCTGAATGAAACTCTGCCTGCCTTTCTCTGCCTTCAGTGAAGAGGAATGAACATACTCTTCCCTGTTGCTGCTCTGCTGGCACACACTGCCAATGCTTCGGTCTGTGCTCAGCATGTACTGGATACTTGCAGTAAAAATGGAAAGGACGATATGCTTTCTTTAGCAGTATTTTTTTTTTTTTTTGTGGAACTGGGGATTGAACTCAGGCCCTTGTGCTTGCCAGGCAAGCACTTATTCTACTGAGCTATCTCCCCAGCCCCTAGCAGTATTTTTTTGATTTTATTTTTATATTAATTTAATTGAGAAAGAAGTAGCAATGAGACAGTTTCAAAACAGGCCAGTAGGACAGTTACAATCATTAATACATTGCACATTGTTGTCTTCATAGTAGTTATTCATAGTACAAGATTCAGACATGATATCTTGTCTAAACACTATTAGTTCAAAACTTTCTTCTCATTGGACTAGACTGGATTACTTTGCTGAATTCATGTACCTTCAGTATATGAATGGCAATGGAATAGCCATCTCTGACAAAAGTAAACAAAAAAGGGGAATATAAATGAAGGATCATTTTGTAGTGAAAAAAATACATATGTATATACAAAATAGTTAGCATAGATATATAGCTACCTTCTCTTAGCATAATTTTTTTGAGATCCTTATTTGCCTCAAGGAAGCAAGGTAGTTTGTTATCAAATAGTTCAAAGTCCCAGACAGCATCCCAGGGCAGCCAGGAGCAGCAGGGTTTTTTGTGTGATGCTCTACATACCAGGGTGCAGGTCTACAGAGAAGCTCCATTTTGTTGTTTCATTAATTTCCTTCCTCTGTATGCGTACAGATAGCTTTTTCTTTTATCTACAAAGACATAACAGAGCTTGGGCCCAAATAGCAAGGAAACCGAACTGTTTAGAAAAACAAAAAGCACCACGAGAAGGATCATTTTCATTCTCCAAATTAGAAACCCTTTCTTAAAATTTTTATTAGATTTAAAAATCAGTTTCCCACTTTTTGGTTAATTTTTAAAGATTCTATTCCTTTAAGTAAAATATTGCTTTCCCTTTGAAGCTGATGTCTAAATTTCTTTAGAACAAAATAAAACTCAAATAACTGTGCTAATAGTATCATAGTGACATCAGAGGGTGAAAGCTTATTACTTATTTATCCTTTAGGGAAAAGATTGTTTTGAACATAGATATTCAGAACTCAGAGAAAAGCTATGAAACTCTTTGGCCCTGCCTGATCGTCTACTAGCAATCCCCTTAGGTACCTATTTCATCCCCTCTTCCCTCCTCTTTTGGGTCCTGGGTCCTCTGCTTGTCAGTCCTCTTTGCTTACCTCCCTGCACTGCTCTTGCTCCTTCCTGAAAAGCAGGCTTTCTACCTGTCTCTCAGTCAGTCAGTCAGTCAGTCAGTCAGTCAGTCAGTCAGTCTCTCTGTCAGTCAGTCAGTCAGTCAGTCAGTCAGTCAGTCAGTCAGTCAGTCAGCCAGCCAGCCAGCCAGCCAGCCA